CTACAGACCAATATCTCTAATGAACCTAGATGCAAAAATCCTCAATAAAATTCTGGCGAATCGGATACAAAAACATGTCAAAAAAATTGTGCACCATGATCAAGTAGGATTCATCCCTGGGATGCAAGGCTGGTTCAATATATGGAAATCAATAAATGTTATTCACCACATCAATAGACTTAAAAACAAGAACCATATGATCATCTCGATAGATGCGGAAAAAGCATTCGACAAATTACAGCATCCCTTTATGTTCAAAACTCTAGAAAAACTAGGGATAACAGGAACATACCTCAATATTGTAAAAGCAATCTATGCTAAGCCTCAGACAAGCATCATTCTGAATGGAGAAAAATTGAAGGCATTCCCTCTAAAATCTGGAACAAGACAGGGATGCCCTCTCTCACCACTTCTGTTCAACATAGTTCTCGAAACACTGGCCAGAGCAATTAGACAGATGAAAGAAATTAAAGGCATAAAAATAGGAAAAGAAGAACTTAAATTATCACTATTTGCAGTTGACATGATTCTATACCTAGCAGACCCTAAAGGGTCTACAAAGAAACTATTAGAGCTAATAAATGAATTCAGCAAAGTGGCAGGATATAAAATCAACACGCATAAATCAAAGGCATTCCTGTATATCAGCGACAAATCCTCTGAAATGGAAATGAGGACAACCACTCCATTCACAATATCTTCAAAAAAAAATAAAATACTTGGGAATCAACCTAACAAAAGAGGTGAAAGACTTATACAATGAAAACTACAGAAGCCTTAAGAGAGAAATAGAAGAAGATCTTAGAAGATGGAAAAATATACCCTGTTCATGGATAGGCAGAACTAACATCATCAAAATGGCGATATTACCAAAAGTTCTCTATAGGTTTAATGCAATGCCAATCAAACTCCCAATGGCATTTCTTGTAGAAATAGAGAAAGCAATCATGAAATTCATATGGAAAAATAAAAGACCCAGAATAGCAAAAACAATGCTAAGCAGGAAGTGTGAATCAGGCGGTATAGCGATACCAGACTTCAAACTATACTACAGAGCAATAGTAACAAAAACAGCATGGTACTGGTACCAAAACAGGCGGGTGGACCAATGGTACAGAATAGAGGACACAGAAACCAATCCACAAAACTACAACTATCTTATATTTGATAAAGGGGCTAAAAGCATGCAATGGAGGAAGGATAGCATCTTCAACAAATGGTGCTGGGAAAACTGGAAATCCATATGCAACAAAATGAAACTGAATCCCTTTCTCTCGCCATGCACAAAAGTTAATTCAAAATGGATCAAGGAGCTTGATATCAAATCAGAGTCACGCCGTCTGATAGAAGAAAAAGTTGGCTACGATCTACATACTGTGGGGTCGGGCTCCAAATTCCTCAATAGGACACCCAGAGCACAAAAGTTAATAACTAGAATCAACAAATGGGACTTACTCAAACTAAAAAGTTTTTTCTCAGCAAAAGAAACAATAAGAGAGGTAAATAGGGAGCCTACATCCTGGGAACAAATCTTTACTCCTCACACTTCAGATAGAGCCCTAATATCCAGAGTATACAAAGAACTCAAAAAATTAGACAATAAGATAACAAACAACCCAATCAACAAATGGGCCAAGGACCTGAACAGACACTTCTCAGAGGAGGACATACAATCAATCAACAAGTACATGAAAAAATGCTCACCATCTGTAGCAGTCAGAGAAATGCAAATCAAAACCCCCCTAAGATACCATCGCACTCCAGTAAGATTGGCAGCCATTATGAAGTCAAACAAGAACAAGTGCTGGCGAGGATGTGGGGAAAAGGGTACATTTGTACATTGCTGGTGGGACTGCAAATTGGTGCGGCCAATTTGGAAAGCAGTATGGAGATTTCTTGGAAAGCTGGGAATGGAACCACCATTTGACCCCGCTATTCCCCTTCTCGGTCTATTCCCTAAAGACCTAAAAAGAGCATGCTACAGGGACACTGCTACATCGATGTTCATAGCAGCACAATTCACAATAGCAAGACTGTGGAACCAACCTAGATGCCCTTCAATAGACGAATGGATAAAAAAATGTGGCATTTATACACAATGGAGTATTACTCTGCATTAAAAAACGACAAAATCATAGAATTTGCAGGGAAATGGATGGCATTAGAGCAGATTATGCTAAGTGTAGCTAGCCAATCCCTAAAAAACAAATGCCAAATGTCTTCTTTGATATAAGGCGAGTAACTAAGAACAGAGTAGGGTGAAGAGCATGAGAAGAAGATTAACATTAAACAGGGATGAGAGGTGGGAGGGAAAGGGAGAGAGAAGGGAAATTGCATGGAAATGGAAGGAGACCCTCAGGGTTATACAAAATTACATACAAGAGGAATTGAGGGGAATGGGAAAAATAATACAAGGGGGAGAAATGAATGACAGTAGAGGGGGTAGAGAGAGAAGAGGGGATGGGAGGGGAGGGGGGATAGTAGAGGATAGGAAAGGCAGCAGAATACAACAGACACTAGTATGGCAATATGTAAATCAATGGATGTGTAACTGATGTATTCTGCAATATGTATACGGGGTAAAAATGGGAGTTCATAACCCACTTGAATCAAAGTGTGAAATATGATATATCAAGAACTATGTAATGTTTTGAACAACCAACAGTAAAAATTAAAAAAAAAAAAAAAAAAAACCCTACCTCTGAACCTTGCTGCATTGAGGACTATGCTTTCAACACACGAGCCTTTTGTGGGACAGTCCAGATCAAAACCACAACAGCACGACATGCTTTTTTATTTTAAAAATTCTATTAGGTATGTAGTGATACTTCATTGAGATTTTAATTTGTATTTTTAAATTGACTAATGACATTGAGCACCTTTCCATGTGTTTGTTTACCATATTTTCCTTGATGAAATTGTTGCTTATATCTCTTTGCCCAGTTTTTATTGAGTTATTCTGTCATTGTTATTATTTTTGTGCTGTTACTGGGGATTGAACTCAGGGCTAGACAAGTGCTCTATCATTGAGCTACATCCCCAACCTTTTTATTTTTCTTTTTAAATTTTATTTTGAGACAGGGTTTTCCTAAGTTGCTCAGGATTGCCTTGAACTTGCGATTTCCTGTCTCAGCTTCTCAAGTAACTAGTGTAGGAATGTACCACCATGACTTGCTTCATTATTGAGTTTTAAGAGTTCTTTATATATTGCAGATATGTGTTTGTGAGCAAATGTGTGATTTGCAGATATTTTCTCCCAGCCTGTGGCTGGGGCAAGTGAATTCTTTATACCCCAAATAACTCCAGGAGGCCTGTGTATGAGATTTGGAGGCATTCTTGGTTGAGTTCTAATTCAGCCATACAAGAGTGTTGCTGCTAGCAAATAGTGGATTTTTAAGAACAAATTTTTGTATCTCTTCTTGCTTATAACTGTAAAATTTGCTCATTATAGACAATTTTAAAAGTACTGAAAATTGTTAAGAGGGAACAAGATTAGAGCATGCTTAGGAACTCTTTGTAGAAGTCATCCAACTGTCAAGGCCATGTACCTCAGAAGCAAGAGTGCTTGGTTGGGCCTTTTATAGTAGACTATCAGAGATTTTCTTCACTTTGAGGATGGTATGCTTAAATTACCCTGTTTTGCTAGGAATTGTCTCAGATGTATGAGTGATGAGATTACTATTTGTTCTTCACAAATATGTCTGTTGCTGCGTCGGAACTGCTAGATCAGTAGCTGGCCTAAGCACTGATGTTTACAAAATATAAACCAAAGCCTTGAATATAGATTTTTTGGAATTCATAAATGTCTCCATAAGACAGAAATGGGTAAGGCTTAGAGAATTAGGGATTAATAGATGTTGAATTAATCAAATGCATTTAACTAATATTGAGGAATATTAAAGAAAGTCTGATATATAAATTTGAAGAGCTTCTTGTCTCTGTTCCTTTATTGTTGGAAAGCATTCAGTTTGGGTACCAAAAGGACTTCATTTATAATTAAGCTCTAGCTGGTGTGGTGGTATGCACTTAAAAGTTCTAACTACGACGCTGAGGCAAGAGGATCTCTTGAGCCCAGGAGTTCATGGTCAGCTTGGGCAACATAGATGTCTTAAAAAAAAAAAAAAAATCAGCCATACTATTTACTTGCCATGTAAACATGGAGTAATACTTAACCTACGTTTACTTGAATTCTTTCACTTACACAATCTGAATAATTATGCATATCTGGTAGAGTATTATAAGGATTATAAGAAGTAGGGTAGCATGTATAAGCCATTTTAGTATATAGTGCCTGATACATTGTAGGAACCTATATATATCAGAGGTATTTATAGTTATTCCCCCTTTTCTTTACAGTTACTAGTTAGGAAGAGGAACTAAACCTGGCTACTGGATTGATGACCACTCACAGAGGGAAGATCTTTGAATGATGTTTGTTTGCCCTCTCCCAGAGTTACATTTTTATACTACTATTTGCTTTCTAGGCTATGAAAATAATACAATGGGATAAAGATAATTCATGTTCCCATGGGAAAAAAAATCTTTAAATCAACTGCAGTTGAGAAAAGAGTTAAGGTAAATGTCTTCAGAACATGGTCAGATTGTCTGAGTGGTAGGTAGAAGGGTGATTAATACTTCTGTAACAATTTCACAGCTGTTTCCAGCAGATGTTGTAGCAAAGTTATCTTCATGTCATTCTAGTTCTTTTGCATGGTCTCTGATCTCTTTTCCTTATTTCTGCACATTTAGAACCTAACTTATCCCTCCTTCTATAATGTGTATGGGATTCTATAATGTTCTGATGTTCTAGAGGGACAGATTGAAATGTTATGCTTTACCAGTCATACTATCTAACAAACTACTGCAATGCATTTTGTTTAAATATGATGTTTTAGATCATGAAAAATGTAACTGTTTTATTTAATTACATAAGTTATAACTTCTGTACAAAATATATTTTAAAATATTTTTTTATTTTTTGCAGTATTGGGGATTGAATCCATGTCCTAGCGCATACTCTCCAGGTGCCCTACTACTTAGCTATATCCTCGGCCCTTTTTAAAATTTTATTTTGAGACAGGGTCTTAAACTTGTTATCCTCCTGTCTCAGCCATCAGAGTACCTGGGAATACAGGTGTGCACTACCACACCCAGAAAAAAAGAGATTCTTGGGCTGGAGTGTAGCTCAGTGGTAGAACACTTGCCTAGCAGGCATGAGGTCCCAGGTCTTAACGCCAGTATCACAAAATGAAAAAAAACAAAACAAGATGCTCTGTTGCACTACAGCTGAGTTTGCTCTGACTTTTCTCAAAATGTATGTAAACTTTTGGGGTTGGAGAATAGCTTATCAGAGTCATTTTTGTGATTTCCATGTTTGTTCCATTTTTATTTTATGGCCAGATATGCAAAGGTATTGGAAATTTATGTTCTTCTATCAAAAGACTGTTATTTATATGTTAGAAGGGGAACCATTTTTTAAGGGCCCTCTCCTTCTGTGTCCGTATAATTCCTTGTTACAGCACTCTAATAGCATGAGGCACAATGAACAAAGCAAATCACGTGGCCACACCTGATTCCTAGGAAGGTAGAAAATTGCCTTATTTTTGTCTCCACGAAACAGAGCTGGAGCTGGGCGCCATGGCACACACCTGTGATCCCAATGGCTCAGAAGGCTGAGGCAGGAGGATAGAGAGTTGGAAGTCAGCCTCAGCAAAAGCGAGGTGCTCAGCAACTCAGTGAGACCCTGTTTCTAAACAAAATACAAAATAGGGCTGGAGGTATGGCTCAGTGGTCAAATACCCTTGGGTTCAATCTCCAGTACCCTCCAAAACAAAAACTAAACAAACAACCCAGAACTGATGAACTGCATTAGTGATCCCATGGTTCTTTTTTGTGTTCACAGTGTGTTCATATCTCTCTTCCTACTGTAGGCATAATCACTCAACTCTCCCCAAGAACATTTTCTGAAATTACCTCATTCATTCACAACATCAAGCTCAAAGCTCAGTATCTCTGGGTGGTGTGCAAAAAGACCTTCCCTTAGTTCAGATGTGGCACCTGTTGCTCTGAAGACTTCAGAACCAAACGGCTAAGGTATATAAGATAAGGGGGTGGATGACTAAAAATACCTCTGATATATTTTAGGTTCCTACAGTGTGTCAGGCATTATATCCTGCTCATGCTCTGACACCGTGGTGCAACTAGGAAGGATAATTGCCCAAAACAATTCCATTCAGAAAAAGGAAGAATCAGAGGTATATATCAGTCACAGGGCTATAGCAATTTGACAGTTCCCACTGGGCAGGAATTTTGGGCAACCCCTGTCTTGGGTTGGAGAATGTTCCTTAATTATGTAAAGATTCTTCTTGGGAGAAACTTCTATGTCCATTCTTTTCCATGCCCATTGGCTCTGTCCTCCTGGAGTTCTTTTTTTTCTAGCAACTTCTTGTTACAATTGAAGTGAGCACTGGAGAATAAGCCCTCCTTGGAAGCTGAGTAATTTTCTCTGTAGCTTCTTGTCTATAGAAAACTGCCACCTATTGGTTGTCTTAAATATTCAATCATCATAGTCCTTTTTAAATCCAGACTAATAGTTATTTTTTTAGTACAATTCTTAAAATTTTGTTGGCTTCTTTTCTATTTGACTTCATTCAGCTTCAGGCGTCACAATAGCCAGAACTACAATTTTTGCTTGATGTAGTTCTGATATTTCCTGTATTTCTCATCCCCCCCCGCCCACCACCGCCACCTCTGCTCATATTTCCTTGGCTCTATTAGGGTTCTAGTTGGGGACGACTCCTTTAGTCTCTTTTTCTTGGACCAGGTTCTTCTAAGCACAAGAATTTACTGAGTGCCATGTTAGTTTGTGCTGAGTTTTAATATCAGGTATGGCTTTGATTTGATTCTTACTGAGGTTGAGTTTTAATCAGCTGTTTTTACTTCAAAGGCCTTCTCAGTTTTATTTTTAAGTGTTTGGAGCTGAAAAGTGATTGCTTTTTCCAATCTAAAAAGTCTAACTTTTAAAAAAATTATTTTTGTGTTAAAACTATACATAACAGTGGGATTAATTTTTATATAATTGTACATGCCTACAACATACTAATATAATTTGGGCAGTTTCATTCCCTGATAACTTCCCTTTCCTCCATTCCCCTGTAATCCCCTTCATTTACTCTGTTGGCATCCCTCCTATTTTCCTGAGATTTCCCCCACCCTGTGTTTTTCTTTTTTTCTTTTTTCTCTCGTATGTATGAGAGAAACATAATGACCTTTGACTTTCTGTGTTTGGCTTATTTTGCTTAACATATGTTCTTAAGTTCCATCCATTTTCCTGCAAATGACGTAATTGCTTTCTTCTTTATGGCTGAATAAAACTGCATTGTGTATGTATACTTCTTTGTGGTTTGGCTATGAGGTGTAATATGTAGGAATATTCAGAGATGAGATGAAATTGTGAGAGGTGTAACCTCATCAGTTCATTCTAGTTTAAATGGATGGAATGGTGGTAACTTATAGGCAGATGGGACATGGCTGGAAGGGTTCATTTTCCCTGTGGCCCTTTCCTTTCTCTCTAGTTGTTTTCTGCTGCTATAGATGAGCACTGCCTCTGCTCCCTGCTACCCCATCCTTTAGTCATGGCTCCAGAGCAATGGAGTCAGACATTTATGGACTAAGACCTTTGAAACTATGAACCACTAATACTTTTCCTCCTTTAATTGTTCTGGTCAGGTATTTTGTTCACAGTAATTTTATCCAGATGAGTATCTGTTGAGGGACACCTTGACTGATCCTTTGTGGCTGGCTGTTATGAATTGTGCTGCTATAAATATGGGTATGCATGTATCATTATAGTATTCTGACTTTAATACTTTAGGATAAATGGAGGAATGAAATAGCTGGGTCATATGGTTGTTCTATTCCTATCCTTTATATCTTTGGTTTTGAATTCTTTTCTTACTTAATTGCTTTTAAATCAAATGGTACTATTCTGACTTCATGTTTTCCTTGCATGAGTTTCTCTTTGTCTTAGTTACTTTTTAAAATCTGACTTTTATTGGCTCATTTTTTCCTTTTGCATTTTCATCTAATCTTCTTTTTCCACCAGTTTCATGGAGGCTGTGCCTCCTTGTACTCTAGAGTGAGTGCCAAACTATTTTTAGAGCTTTTTCTTTGGCTCTGTCACTATATCCACCAAGCCCTTCTTTGAGGATTTCAGAAGCTGTTTCTTTTTCCTTTACGGGAATATTTTTCTTTTTTCTCATGGATGGTGTTTTTCTTCTTTTTGTTTTGTTCCTTTTAAAAGTGAAATCTGACAACCGTGTTGTCTGTAAACAAATATGTTCCTTTTACCCACTTACGTTGGAGTTAATACCCTTATGGATCTATTGCTTAGTTCAGGGAGCCTATATAATCCCAATTAAATTCTCAGCTTCTAGAAGGCTTTCACTCAGGTTATATCTTACCTAGTCTCGATTTTTCTGGTATGGGTGGAATTTATGTAAACTAAAATGTTGAGTGCTTATTGCCACCAGGAGTCGTCCTTTCTTTGCCTTCTCTTATGTTTTTCTCCTTATAAGGGACTGTGCTCAAAATGTAATGTGTTCTTGCAAACTACCCTTCAGCTTTCATCCCACTTGTTTTCTGGAAGTGTTGCCCTCCTTGAATGTGCAAAGATGAGAGTAGGAGGAGAGGGTGTGTGTGTGTGTGTGTGTGTGTGTGTGTGTCAGGGACAGTGATCTCACCAACACAAAGATCTGGTAATTTAAAGTTGGCTGCAGTTTTATAATTTGTATACTCTTTGAGACTGAATCAGGTAACCAACAGCAGAGGTTGTTTGAAGCACCTTCCTTTCTTTTTATGTGTGGCCTTAGTTTTATGAGTCTTTAGCTAGTTATAGGATGAAAAAGCTAGTGTTTTATGGCTAGTGAAATCTTTCCAGATTCTGGCAGTAACTGTTGGTTTTAGTTTTACATGAGGCAATTTCTTGGATATTTTGAATCTTCAGAAATTGAGAGGTTGCATTGCAGATTGAAAGGCGCACATTGTTCTAGACTACAAGTTTGTGTTCCTTAATTTCTAGTTTTGGCTTCTGATACCCAGAGACGACTCATGGTCCAATGTCTGGCAATATGATTCCTAAGAGTAATTATTGCAATATTTACAGTTTTATGTTGTGAGTAGTTATTATGAATTTTACAGTTTCATCTGCGTTTAATGTTATATAGCATTTCTGTTTCAGATAGCAGCAGTGGCAGCAGCAATGTTTCACTTCTTCAGGAAGCCTTCAGAATCTAAGAAACCCTCAGTTCCAGAGACAGAAGCAGATGGATTTGTCCTCTTAGGTGAGTCTTTTTAAGAAACAAGATCATAATTAGATGAATTGTTTTTCCCTTAAAAAGTACTTGATAATTATGATTAGTTTTTAAAATATTTATTACTAATTTCAGAATGAATTTATGTGTATAATTTAAAAAGTGAAGTCTGTAAAAAAAGAGTTCAGCAATTACGTGGAATAGTGTTATCAAATTATACTCTTCTTACACATTGGTTTGGCTGCATACTTCTAATTATATTTGTAAACTAGCTGAGCATGGTGGTGAACACGTGTAATCCTTGGGAGGCTGAGGCCAGTGTCAACAACTTAGTGAAACCCTGACTCTCATGGTCCCCTCCCTGGGATGTTCCTCAGGGCCTTCCTTTCCAAATATTCTACCTCTTACTACCTGTCAGACTGGAGTGACCCAGTCAGCCTGGAGTCTGCTACTTCACATTCAATAGAAGTAGGGTTGGTTGGGACTCTTGTTCATCATCCCTTCTCTTTAGGATTTGGTCTTGTGCTTAAAGGTACACGGATTTCAGCTCTATGACTCTTTTCCATTTATTGATCTTTATCTCTGGGAAATCAGAATAGAGGTTTTCTCATGGATAAACTTTATCATAGAATTTCCAAGTTTCCCAGCCAAGTTTTGGAAGGACTTTGTGTTTTTCTGAGTTTGTCTTGTAAGATATGGGACAGGGCAATGATTAGGGTGGTCAGAGTTGTACCAGGATTGGTGTTTTTAGTGGACATTCTTCTGACTGGGATAAGGTCTGGTCCCTTGGATCTGACTGCTTATCTGACCCTTCTTTCTTACCAAGTTGGGGATTTGTGCCTTGTTTTCAAAGTTAGAACTGGTTCTGTGAATTCCAGTTAATACTTGCCTTAAAAGATGCTGACATTGCCTTCCTGTCGTCTTCTGAATTAGTTTCACTAAAAGAAAAACTCCAAATACCTCAGGCCTCCTGGGAAGTATCTCCTTCACAATAAATTCATCATAAATTTTTTTCTCAGAAATTTCTTCCAACAAAGCCTGGTTTTCCAAATTGTGTTTTGTATTTCTCATTCTAACATCTCCATAGTATTAAGACATATGCAGAACTTTGCTCTTTTTTGTTGTTACATTATTAGAAATCAACATTATTCTTTTTGTTATTTTGTAGTCATTTAAGAATGTTGAGTGGGGTGCACTGGCATCTTAGAGAGCAATACAATTTCAAATGATAGACCTTAAAAACTTTGTGTACATTTTCTTCATGTTTATCTCTGTTGCCTGCCACTTGGGACTATTTCAGAGACAAGTTTGACCACAAGTGAAGTGGCCCTTGGTGTTGCTTTTTATAAGAATTACTCTAGTTCTGCTGATGATTGTCTCTGTTCAGCCCTGTTTCCCTCCAGGCGCACAGCTTCATCTCTTCACCATTTTTCATGAAAAATGGGTGTGGACCTCTTATTCTGTGTGCTTAACTCTCCTCAAGTTTTCATGATACCAGTCAGCATCATCTCTTCTGTTTTTTTCTCACTCTTCATCTCCCTTATTTCTCAGGAGCATCTTAGAGGCTCTACAGTGAAGTGCAGATAAGTCTGGAGTCAGACTGCCTGAGTTGACATCCTGGTTCCACCATTTATTAGAGTTTCTACCTCCGGCAAATTATTTAACATTCCCAGGTGTCATTTAGCTTATCTAGAAAATAAGCCTGTTACCAGTGTCTTTCCCATAAGGGTACTGGAGGATTGAATGAGTTAGTGTGTGTAACATACTTAAAACAAGCCTGTGAGTGAGGTGGTACTATTTCTACATACAGATGAGGACTTAGCTTTTCCAAATTTCTCTAGCAGATATGGAATGAGCTCAGGCAGTCTGATTTCAGAGCCTTCTAACCACTGGACTATTCGTGCTGGTGGTTTTGTTGTTGTTGTCATATTGCCATATGTTTTAAAGATTTAAACATATGGAAAAACAGGAGCAAGAAGTTTGAGTGGGGATTTCCATAGTAAGATGACTACAGATGATGATAATATACTGTATATTTCAAGAAGCTAGAAGGAAGGATTTTGAATGTTTTCACCATATCAGCAGTTTTGATTCTAAAATTCCCTGGCCCTTTTTATTTTTTTGAGACAGGATTTTGCTAAATTGTTGAGGCTGGCTTTGAACTTGCTATCCTCCTGCCTCAGCCTCCTGAGTTGCTGGGATTACAGGCATGCACCACCATGCCCAGCTTTTTAAGTACTCTTTAAAAAACAAACACCAAAACCAACCACCAACAAAAAATTGTATTCTCTACTATTTAAAAGAGAAAGCACTATTTTTTTTTGTATTTTTACTAAAAGAGCATTGCTGTTGTATTACTGTCCATAAAGTTTGGCTCTTATTTTGGCTACCTCATTATTTTTACTAATACTTTAAGTAGTATTAAAATGTTGCAAATAACAGTAATACCCTTGAAATGGAGCAAAGGTGATATTCATTGTTTAGTTAATTAAAAAAAAATCTTTCAACAGTTAAGGACTTAACTGAAATTTGTGATAAAATTCCTGATAGATTATTTAGAATCTAATTAATTTTCTTTAAAAATAGTATGGGCATGGTGGCTCATGCCTGTAATCCCAGTAACTTGGGAGGCTGAGGCAGGAGGATCACAGTTTCGAAGCCAGCCTCAGCAACTTAGTAAGGCTGCAAGCAACCTAGTGAGACCCTGTCTCAAAAATAAAAAAGGGCTGGGGATGTGGCTGAGTGGTTACGCACCCTTGGGTTCAATCCCTGGACTTAAAAAAAAAAAAAATAGTGTGTTAAACTCTGTTTAGAATAGGATGGCATACTGTTGAAAATATTTTGGTAAGTGTCAAGTAGGTTAAATGGCACATATGAAATACTTTTGATACTTTTATTATTAACATAGCACCATATATGTGCACACACATGTATTTTGATTAGCATGTAGCCATCTAAATTTTTTCTTATTAAGCATCATGTTCAATAGGTACATTACAGGAAAATAAGTATATTTGATTGGTTTTGTGTTTATTGACTTTTACATGATACAACTAAGTAAAGACTTAGAAACAATTTATAGCAACAGCTTCTTAGCAATATGAACTCTACAGAATTTGTTATTTTGTTATGTAGCCTTTAGAACCTGTTTCTGTATAGGATAGTCAATTATGTTGTTAAAGCTATAAAAGAACTAATTTTTCCCATTTGAGAATACCTTTTCTTAGCCTAGTGTTTTGATTAATGCTAATAGGTTTTAGATCACAATTATTTGATGGCATTGCTGAGTTGATAAAATCAACGCATGATGACTTAAAATTCAGGATCCAAGCAGAGCACAGGCACTTTTGTTGATAATAGGAATATCTGGGCTGTTCCTACACAATTAGCTCACATTTGGATGGAAAGCCTTTCTCCCTATTAAGATTTCCAAAGCTTTTAGTCTTTGTTTTAGTCCAGAGTGCTGAATAAGAGTGGGATGGGGGAAACCTAGTAGAAAAACATCCTTTCCCTTGTAGCCAGTTTGTATTCACAGAAGAAGGTAATAGCTGTTCCTTCATTCAGTAATGAAGTTGAAGTAATCCTCCAGGGTGCTCATTTTACACAAAAACAAATTGCAGTTTTCATTTGCATCACTGGGTGGCGATTTTTCATAGTTTTATGCTACTGTTTAAACACCCAGCAGCATGGCACTACTTGTAATTACCAGGATTTTCTTCTGTTATGACATATTTAATTGTACTTTTAACACATTATCTTTAAGTTGATTACAAATTTACTAGTGTAGTGTGCAACCTCATAGTTATTTTAAATTAGGAAAGGATATTTCCTAGATGTTGGAGTATAATTCCTTCCAAAACCAAGACAAAGGAATGAATTAGCTTATTATGTTATAGCAAAAATAAGGAAAAATAACAACAAAATCATGGGATATAAAATGAAAGGAATAATTTAGGCTATTGTTGTTATATTCACCAACATTGTTGACCAAATATTGAATGTAACTCTGGAGCAGGCAGAATAAAATTAGGCGAGCACTATTACAGAGATTAAAGGAGTTGGGTTATAGTACAACTGAAATTCAACATGTTTTTCAGAATATGCAGGTGCTTCTTTAAGTAGAGCATAGGAACTTCTAGTTTCTACTAAGATAATTATTTTGTAAAATCATTAGATTTAAAATCAGTTTGGTAATTTACAGAAAAAAATTTTATCTTTTAAGTATTGATATTGAAATATGTAATTTAGTCTCACTTTCTGTTTTCTACTATAAATGACAAATCAGATTTCAGAAAGCAATGTGTTATTTTTAAGATTTTTTTTTTTCCTATTACATATTTTTCATCCTGGGAAAGAAACCATGCATACATATTTAAGTTAGACTATCCACTTTTTGTTTGGAAATTTTAAAGATAATCTCTTCATTTCTGTTTTGTTTTATTTATTTAAAAGTAGAAACCTAGCTGTGTACATTAAAAATCTACATTCCAAGGAATGAGGGACAGTAAGGAACTTTAATTCTGTACAGGACTGAAGGCTTTAATTAGAACAACAATGAGAAAAATCCACAGGTTTTCAGCATGTGCTTGGTATATTTACTCTTTGTTTTCACAAGAGAAATATATCAAACCTTAAAAAAAAGAATGTTTATGGATTCAAAAAGTAATTTATCCTGTCTCCTTACGTTATGCAGAAAAATTCATGCACATTTAACTTATTGACTGATCTTTGTGTTTTTACTCTTGACCTTTAAATTCTAAAGGAAGTATGCCAGGATTTTTCAATTAACTTCATTATGCAGTAAAATTGCTTATTTTCCCATTAAGAAATTTGGAGTTGTGTGTTTAATGGATAGAATTAACAGAACTTTTACTTTAATTTTACATAATTCTGGTCTACCTGGTAATCCAGCAGCATTTCAGTTTCTCAGAGGTTAGCAAGGCTGCCCTCCATGTAGGTTGTACTCCCCTCTTTTATCTCTTTGAATGAACAGAGTGAGAGGGAATTGGAATTGCAATTGCATGGGGGCG